GAATAACGGCGAGTCCTTGTAGTTCCTAACAGATCTTCTGAGGGTCATCCTGGCTTTCCCAACTTTATTGTTCAATGATTTGGCAGGTTTTGTTACTATAGCAGGTAATGGAACCTGACTTATTTTTAATGCATTAGTGTCAACTGCCACGGTATCCACCGGAACTGATTTGTCTAGAGTTTCCTCTGGAGACATAACTCGCTTCCTCTTCCTGACTGGCTTTGACTTTTCCGCGCTAGCGCCCTTATTAGTAGGATGTTCGTCGCCGATCGACCGGAAATTTGGCGGATTATTTGGTAATTCTATCTTACTGTGCTTAAGAATAGCCATGATGATGTCCGTCAGTAGGCCTTGCTTCTCTTCTAGCGTCTGGATCCGCTTCTCAAGTTCCTTGCAGCCGACACAGTGACCGACAAGCGCAGAATCCGTCCCGTCTGTCATACAGTTTTCGAGGCCTCTTGGCAGTGCATCGGTTCTTATTTCCTGTCTTATCTCTTCGAGCCTATTGTGCGTAATCTCCCTGGAGTCTAATGATTCCAGCGGCATTTTATCGCAAGAGACTGCTAATGAGTTAAAGACCGTTTTCAGCTGCTCTTCTGTAGTTGATAAACATATCTGACTAGCGCCAAACCGTTCATCGATAGCGCAGTGGCTAACACTGTGGCCTCCGAGACCGCAGGTACCGAGTTCAAATCCCGGTTGCACAACTTTTGTGAACGAGTTTTTTATAACAAATTGGCTCATTGCTGATGATTTTCAAACTCTTCAATCAGTTCTAGAGTAGTGCAGGATGTTTTCAACAATTGTTAGAATGAAGAATTTGCCAATTATGAAGTCGCCTTTCTGTACACCGTGGTGTTGAGTTCGCCGTTGGGTGTGCGTGTGACGAGAACGTCAAGGAAAGGCAGCTGTTCGTCATGCTCTTCTTCCCTTGTGAAATGGGTGTCCGCGAAGATGCCGTTGAGCAGGTCTTGGAAGTCGGCCAGTCTGTTCCTTTAAATTATAACGAACGTGTCGTCTACGTACCGGCGCCAAAATGCACGTTCATAGTGGTCGAAGGGGACTTTTTCCAGTTCCTGCAGGACTAGTTCTGCAACCAGGCTGGATATTGGCGAACCCATCGGCGTTCCTTTGATCGGCTCATATGTTCTGCCATTGAAGGTGAAGAAGGTTTGTTGGCAGAAAGCAAACAGTTGCAGTAAGTGGTCGATTTTTAGGGGTTTGTTCGTCTCGTCGTAATTCTCTTCGAGTCGTTTGCGAAGAACGTCGCGTGCCAGGTCCGGTGGGATGGACGTGAATAATGAGACCACGTCAAAGGACATCATAATCTGCTCCGGTCGGACAACTTTTCCTCGGATGTCGGCCAGGAATTGGGAGGCCGAATTGATGGAGGTCCTTGAGCCTTCTCGGGGAAAGTTAAGTTTTCGGGCCATCCACTTGGAGAGATTGTAAGTGGGGCTGCCGTTCAAGGCAACGATCGGTCGAAGGGGAACATCGGGCGTGTGGATTTTGGGTAATCCATAAAACCGGGCCAATGTCGTGTCCGTTGGTTTCATCTGTCGCCATTCGTCTAGGGATATATCCCTGTTTCGCTTGAGTCGGTTCAGAAGTCCAGTTAGTTGACTAATCATCGATTTGGCTCGCGAGGGAGGCGTGGACTTGTAGGACTGTTGGTCGTCGAGGGGGGCTTGTGCCTTTTCGTTGTAGTCAACGCAGTTCATCACGACGGTTGCTCTTCCTTTGCCGGCTGGCAGCATTATTATATCTTTGTCCATTTTTAATTCCTTCATTGCTTCTATTTCTGCTGGTGACAAATTATTGATGGGCCTGTTCGTCAGCAGTAGGGAGGTGACTTTCTGGCGTACGGTGTGTTTAGCCTCGTCGGTCGCGCTGGTTCTTACCAACATGGCTTCAAGTGCGGCAATAAATTCGGATGGTTTGGCATCTGCCGTATTAAAGTTGGCTTTACGACTCAGCACACTCAGTTCAGTTAAATCACGTTTCCCCCTTGAGAGGTCGCAGACAGATCATGTATAACTGCTAGTCGGTTGGCAACAAATGTGCATAACCTGATTGATTCATTGTGTATATAATAATGGACTATCATAGAATCGGTCTAGAAAGTCATTGTTTGGAAGTACCTATCGGTGCTTGACCGGATGAGATCAGTCACGCGCACAGCCAGAGCAGCAGCTGCCAACTCTAAACGTGGTATAGAGACGGCTTTGAGGGGTGCAACACATGCTTTCGAATAAGCGAATGAACAGTGTGCATCTCCTGTGTCGTTAATAAAGTGAGCATATGCTACTTCCGAGGCATCGCAAAACACGTGCAGTTCGGCACCCATCGGATCGCTGATATCTTTTGGTTTTGGACAAAGTGCAGGAGGCGTCAAGGCGCGCAGCTCAATTTCAAAGATAAGTGAAGCTCTGCATTTATCTGGATATTCTTAAGTAATTAATGTCTGTTTTTTACTTGAGTCCGTTTTAAAAGTCGCCTTTCTATATAAGGTAAAATTTTTTCCCAGTATGTTTGACAGTCTGGCAAACTAGTCGTATTTTGTAAAAAATCCATTGTAGTGAATCTTTTCCCTACTACCGCTTTCTAGTTTCGTAGATAAAAAACAGTAATACTTGCTACTCAGTGCGCGTTTCCGTACGTCGGCAACGTTTTGATCCTCCTTTGTAACGAAAAACTTTTTTGTCAGTAATGCCCCGCAGAGCACGTGCTAAAAGGCGAAAGCTTGCGGCCTCCCCACCGTCTCTGGGTGCTAAAATCGTGACTGAAGACATGGCAGACGCCAGCGTATGTTCTTCGCCGTCTGCAGATCTGATTAACTCACAAATCCGTTTAGTACATGTAGAACCTCTCGACCCTTCAGTCGTCCAAAAATACGCCTCTGCTAGTCGTAGCAGGCCATCAGCCGGCGAAATAATCGATCAGCTGATTTATGGAGACATAAACAGCACTTCTGAAAAAGTGCTTGAACAAGCTTTTAAACTTATTGGGGTAATAAGTTCGGAAACTGAGGAACGAATTAAACGCAAGCATAATTTCGTACTGCGAAACATTCCGAGCCACTTATCTGCTATGGAGGGAGCGCATTTGATCCTACAAAGTTGTGGCTTGAGTTTTAGTGTCGCACAAGCTAAGCGACTTCGCTCGCTTAGCCGTAATGCGCCGATACTAGTTACCCTTTTCTCCATGAAAGAAGTCGATTTTATCTTGTCGAGTAGGGAGATGACTAGAGACTTCTGCCGTAAATGGCGCTGCTGCGTTTCGCCAGACCTCACACCCCTGCAGCGAAGACTGAATAAACTTAAATCGGCAAAAACCAACACCAAGATAATTGTCGAAAGTTGTTGTGGTCGACGAGATAAAGATTCCAATCAACAGTCAGGGAAGACGGTTTGAGTTGGACAAACTTTACAGCTTGGAAAGCGTGCACACAAAGGCTGTGTGGGCAGTCGCCGCAAGTGTGCTCTCCAGACAAGTTGTTGTCTGTGTCCGCCTTCGAGGTGTTGTCAGCGCGTGTGTGCGCCCTTCGTTGTCTCAATCTCGCCAGCCAATCAGAGTGGGGGCAGCGTTGATTGGCTTCGAGCACTCGCGCATCCCATCAGCGCATCAGCAAGGAGTGTGAGGCGGACAGGAGGGCAGCGTGACAAGGACGGAAAGCGAGGAGACGCGAACTGCTACAGTACCCCCCGGCTAGACCGAAGGTGGCGCGTAGCGATACCGAAGGAACTGTTGATGTCTAAAAAACATGAGTAACGAAACGGTCAGGAAAGTGAACATGGCGTCCACTACGGGTGATATATACAGGGGGCACAGGATTAGAGTGAGTATGGCTCGCGGTTACAGTGTTGTTTGTTGATGAAGGGGTAGTTGCAGTTGGGAGTTGTGGACATGAGGGCAGAGGAAGTATACGGGACGGTGGAATAGAGGGTCGGGGAGGCGGAGCAGGGGGTAGGGGACCACAGGGCTCATCCGGAGGAGTGTCCGGGAAGGCAGCTTTGAGACGGTCCACGCTCACGACCTCCTCGCGAGTGCCGCGTTGGATGCGGAAGTTCTTCGTCCCACGAGAGATAACTCGGAAGGGGCCGTCGTAGGGTGGTTCCAGGGGCCGGCGGACTCGATCACATCGGAGATAGACGTGAGAGCATGTCGCCAAATCTTTCTCGAGGTAAGATTCGGAGACGGATTGCCTGGGCGGAACCGGAGAAAGTGTCCGCAGGAATTGGCGGAGGCGATGCAGGAGGTTGGTGGGATCCTCAACTGCAACTCGCGGGGTTGGCGAGATCATCTGACCGGGAAGTCGGACGGTGGCACCGAACACGAGTTCAGCGGCAGAACAATCAAGGTCCGACTTGAGGGAGGAGCGAATGCCCAAGAGGACTAGGGGGAGGTGGTCTGTCCAGTTCTCCGGATCGTCTGCGGCGCGTAGGGAGGCCTTCAGCTGACGGTGAAACCGCTCGACCATCCCGTTGGCTGCCGGATGATAGGCTGTAGTGCGGATGCGAGTACAGCCTAAAAAGGAGAGTAAAGACTGGAAGAGGTGAGATTCAAATTGGGCACCACGGTCAGTCGTGATAATGGAGGAAGCACCGAAAATGGCAACCCAACGACTGAGGAAAGCCTTGACGACCGTTGGAGCTGCGACATCAGGCAGCGGAATAGCTTCCGGCCACCGGGTGAATCGATCCACGCAGGTAAGGAGATAGGAGCAGCCATTGGACAGAGGCAGGGGGCCCACGATGTCCAGGTGGATATGACTGAACCGTGCGTCCGGAGTAGGGAAGGTGCCAATGGGAGTTTTGTTGTGCCGTCGGACCTTATTCCGTTGACAGCCGAGACACGCCCGTGTCCATGCTTTCAGGTCCTTGTGCATTCCAGGCCAGACGAAGCGGTCGGAAACCAGCTTGTCGGTTGCTCGACTCCCAGGGTGAGACAGATTGTGCAGGGAGGAGAAAACTTTGCGGCGGAGAGATGGTGGCACAAACGGACGATGGGAAGGGGTGGATACGTCGCATAAAATGGTGCCGTTGCCAGTCGTCAGTGGTAGTTCCTGAAGTTTGAGTCCGGAAACATCCTCATCACAGGGTGGACCGACACGGCGTTGTTCAGCGGCCATCTCAGCGAGGTCTATCCCGGGTGAAAGCTGAAGATGAGCAATAGAGCGCCTGGACAGAGCGTCAGCCACCTCACTCCTTGACCCGTCAAAATGGCGGATGTCTGAAGTGAACTGCGAAATGTAGTCCAGGTGACGGATCTCCCGGGGGCTTAGCTTGTCAGAGTGGGAATGTATTGCAAACGTGAGTGGCTTATGATCAGTGAAAATTGTGAACTCTCGACCTTCGAGTAAGTGCCGGAAGTGCCTTACGGCAAGATAAGCGGCGAGAAGTTCACGTCCGAACGTGCTGTAGCGGGTTTCGGCCTTGGATAGTTTCTTGGAGAAGAAAGCCAAAGGCACGGTAGAATCCGGCAGACTTTGTTGAAGAACCGCGCCAACAGCAACATTGGAGGCATCGACCATCAAAGATATGGGTGCATCAGCGTGAAAGTGAGTCAGGAGGTTGGCATCAGCCAGAAGGGCTTTTACCTGCTCAAATGACGTGAGTGCGGCTGATGTAAGTTCAAAGGTGCGCTTTGAACCAGAGAGGAGACTGGTCAGAGGTAGGATGGTGTCGGCACAGTTTGGGAGAAACCGGCGATAAAAGTTCACCATACCAAGAAACCGTTGCAACTGACGCTTCGAGGTAGGGGGTGGAAAGACCCGAATGGCGGCAACCTTTGAGGGAAGAGGTCGAATGCCGTGGGAGTCGACTAGATGACCGAGAAATTCTAGGGAGGGCACACCGAGGACGCACTTTGACGGGTTGAGAACGATGCCAAATTGTTGAAGGCGGTCAAACACCGTTGCCAGATGCTCCATGTGTTCTTCAGTGGTAGAGCTGGCTACCAGAAGGTCGTCGATATAGGCCTAGACAAATGGTAAGCCGCGAAGCACTCTGTCTACGAACCTTTGGAAGGTCTGGGAGGCGTTGCGAAGTCCAAACGGCATGCGCAGGAACTCAAAGAGGCCGAAGGGGGTGGTAACGGCCGTCTTCGAAACGTCCTCTGGGGCTATGGGAATTTGGTGGACAGCACGGACCAGATCGATCTTCGAGAATACAGACTTGCCGAATAGGGCACCGGCAAAATCCTGAAGATGTGGGACAGGGTAGCGGTCCGGGACAGTAACGTTGTTCAGGGCTCTATAATCACCGCAGGGGCGCCAGTCACCAGTGGCGGCTTTTGGAACCAGGTGGAGGGGTGAGGCCCATGGGCTTTCAGACTGGCGGATGATGCCCATTTGAAGCATGTGCTCGAATTCGGCCTTGGCGGCAGCAAGACGTGTAGGCGCGAGACGGCGGGGGCGAGAAAACACGGGAGGGCCGGTGGTCCGTATGTGGTGAACAACGTCATGTGGTGGAATAGAAACGTTGAAGTTGGGGCGAGTGAGGCCGGGGTATTTGGCGAGGAGTTGCCGAAATGGATTCTCGGGTTCAGGGTCCAAGACGGCATGATGACGGGAGGTGTCGGAGGAAGAGATACCCCGGACAGTGAGGTTGGTGGTCTTGTCGCGTAGACGTGACTGACGGCAGTCGACCAGAAGATCGAAAGCGGCGAGAAAATCTGCACCGAGAATTGCACAGGGGATGTCAACAATGACGAAGACCCAAGGGAAGAGACGCCGGAGACCGATATCCAGAGAGAGGGAGCAGGTGCCAAATGTGGTAATCGGCGATGTGTTGACGGCCTGTAGGAAAAGACCGGGATTGGGACACCGACGATCAGCTGGTGTGGGTGGAATGACACTTAAGTGGGCACCAGTGTCAACCAAGAAACGTCTGCCACTCCTGGTGTCGCGGACGTAAAATGTGCGACCAGGGTTAGAGCTATCGGAAAGATTGCTTGCACTGACCTTCCGGCTGACCGGTTTCACCCGTTTTTTCTGCTTGAAAGTGAAGGAGCAAGGAGAGATGCAGCGACGGGCTTTAGCACCGAAAGTAGTGTGGTACCAGCAAGTGGCAGCTGCGTTTGGACTGGCTGAATGAGAAGACTGGACATGCGGGGTGGACGGCTGCGGTTGGCTCCGAGATGAGGCAGAAACTGCGGGCTTCTGGAGAGCGGCTATATCATCGGTCAGCTTGTTGAGCTCGATCTCTAACTGCGAAATGGGAGACGCAGGAGGAGCTGAGGGAGTTGAGAGTGCTGAAATAGACGGCTTGGAAAAATCGTGCATCTCCATAAGCCAATCAGCCATCTGATTAAGTTGCGTGGCCGAAAGAATGCCCGAGGCGGGTGCCAAAATATGCTGCACCTCCGGTGGAAGGTTGTCCATGATCAACACCTGACTTATTCGTAGATTAGGGAGAGGGATTGCTGTTCGCAAGGGGTCACCAAGTGTCGAAAGTTGTTGTGGTCGACGATATAAAGATTCCAATCAACAGTCAGGGAAGACGGTTTGAGTTGGACAAACTTTACAGCTTGGAAAGCGTGCACACAAAGGCTGTGTGGGCAGTCGCCGCAAGTGTGCTCTCCAGACAAGTTGTTGTCTGTGTCCGCCTTCGAGGTGTTGTCAGCGCGTGTGTGCGCCCTTCGTTGTCTCAATCGCGCCAGCCATTCAGAGTGGGGCCAGCGTTGATTGGCTTCGAGCACTCGCGCATCCTATCAGCGCATCGACAAGGAGTGTGAGGCGGACAGGAGGGCAGCGTGACAAGGACGGAAAGCGAGGAGACGCGAACTGCTACATAATGACACCTACTGTCAGTCTGAATATGTCCTCTACAACACCTGTGGCATCTGCAAGTCACGGCATAGTCAATTCCGTAGGGGGTTCGACTACTTTTAATGCTGACCTTTTTAAACACACCACCACGCCTGGTATAAACACGCCGCTATCGACTCCCTCAGCAACCCCTAGTAAGCCTAAGCATGTATCTAAGTCAAAGGCAAATCCAATTGCTGTCTCAGCCACTCGGACACCCAATAAATCCAGCACCAGTATAAAATGTTTTCCTCCACAATCGGCGAACAGTGCCTCAAATACCCCGACTCAAAACGTAGCGGGTTCGCAACTGCCCCCCAGCCCTCATATCAAGGCAGTTAGGCCGAATATGCCGATTTTCCCACCGTTTAATAGACCTCTTGTTCCAATGGAAACAATGCGTCCCCCAACCCCTAACTTGTTTCCTCCACGGCCGTTTTACCAATTTATTCCTCATGATAATGTCCATACTGAATCAGTTAATTCACCCGATCCTCAGTTTCGTCCCGGCGGGAATACGTTGCAGTATCTGCCCCGCGGATTTCCAGCTGAAAATAAGTTAGCTAACAATAGTTACCAGTTTACCTGCCCGTCATTCCCTCCCCCAAGTCCTACCCCTTTTTATCCACGTCAGAATTTTTCCATGCCACAAAATTTTTTGCAGAACCAGATGGTTGCATCCGGACCGTTTGCTCCATGGGCGACCCAGAACTGGACGATGTAGCCCACCTCCCTCAAAAACTAACAGCCTTTCCCTTCAAACTTTTTGTTTTAAATGCCAGATCCTTGCTTAATAAGATGCCTTTGCTTCAGACTCAGGTGTTCGTCCATTGTCCTGATATTGTTTTAGTAACTGAAACGTGGGGATCAGCCTCAGTAGCTGACTCCGAACTCTCGCTTCTAGGCTAAAATTGCATTCGAAATGATCGCCAAGATAGCTGTGGTGGGGGGCAGCTGCGTCTACGTTAACCAAACACTTACATTTTTGCCGTTTGACCTCCCGCGCTTTTCAGCAGTAGAAGGCAGCTGCTGGCTCCAGGTTGCACTAAAAAATAAGTTCTTCTTACTCACTGGCTGCGTCTATCGCCCTCCCAACGCCAATGACACTTTTGATCGCTTACTCTCACAGGCATTTCATGCTGCGGCCGACTTAAGTTTTAAGTATCAACTGGTTGCGGGTGACTTTAATCTCCCTGAAGTCCGATGGTCTCCGCCTTCAGGCCCCAGAAGGTTCGATGACTTTCTTGAGGCTGTGGATGTCGGGATGTGGACTCAGGTTGTTGATTTTCCCACCCGAGGCTCAAGTATACTTGACTTAATTTTCTATAGAGGCTGCTTGCCATCGTCAGTGTCATCCCTAGGCCCACTCGGGGGCTCGGACCATGACATAGCTGTTTCAACGTTGGAATTCGAGGCTGACGAAATGTCGTCCCAAAAGTATAACTTTTTCGCGATTTCCGATCAACTCGCTCAACCGAATTATTAACACACCTTAATTCCTACGACTGGACTGAGTTCTTCCTTAGTTCGGATGTAAATGTTTGCACTGCAAAACTGTCCGAAATTTTGGATCCGCTTATTTCTCGTTTTGTCCCCCGTAAGAAAATTATTAATGTTGGGGATGAGATTTGCCTACCTTTACCCTTTCGTCGCAGATTGCGCAGGCTTTATCGTCGTTTCCATCTGCAGAGCGATGTTTCTGTTCTGCCTTTGATTTGTGATATTTTTGATCGAGCTAAGAGATTGTATGAAGAAAAACAGCTAGCCGAAGAGGTCCACTTTACCGAAAACCATTCGTTAGGTGTCTCGAAACTTTTCTCTAGAAGAATACGAACTCAGAGAAAGACGCAGTATCGGTCTCATTCCCGAACACTCAGATTCTTGACTTCGAGAAGGGTCCTCCTGGGATTAAGTGGTAGATTAAGTGGTACCTCTTAATTATATCATTAGAATCCCCTGTTTTGAATTGGTTTCTAAATCCATCGCTATCCTTCCCCCCCCCCATAGCGACAATTTTCGCGGTTTTTGATGTCTTCTCCCGCATTCCGACCTCATGCGGTCTGTCAACACTCACGGCGGAACCCTCAGTCTTCACTGTTTACTAGTAGTTCGGTCGTACCTCCCTTCCTCACTGCTCGGCTGAGCTCGAAGCGTGCTGTGGCCGATCGCATCTCGGTTCCTCTCGTCTGGCCTCTTTGACGCGGCGTACCAATCCGGCCCAGACGATCTCAATTGTAAATCCCGTATACAATGCCATTTGCAAGCCAGTCCTGTCTGACCCACATTCGTACCCATCAAGGCGGTCATTTATTGATACCCTGACGATGACCGACAACATTCCGTTATATACCGTCACCTACAGGCCAGTCCTGGTCGCTTTTTTCTGTTATTATTTTTAAAGAGGGTTTTTTTCTCCTGCAAAATTAATCCAATCATTTTTACTTTTTCTAAGGAGTTTTTTTTCACCCCTCAATCATCATGTTTCTCAATGGACTTCTAATTTAGAAACTAGGAATTGCATTTTGTAAAGATTCGGCCTACCTCGTCTAAAACTCGCATGCAAATTTATTTTAACTTGCTTTGATGGGACCCCGACGGGTCTTTAATAAAAATTATCTATCTATCTATCCTTCGACACGATCTCGGAAATCCCATAGTTGATGCCCAGTTAACCGCGGATAGCTTCAATGATTTCCTGTCCAAAACGTTCATTGAAGACTCGACCACTCCGCTTCCGACCATCCAGCCATCGACCGGGGCAGTTCTAGAAACTATAACTTTCACTCTGTGGGATTTGACTGTTGCGATTCGGCGTTTTCGTCAATCTTATAGTCCAGGCCCTGATGGTGTCCCAGTAAGCATTTTAAAAGCCGCTGCAAACACGATCTTCCCATCCCTCTTATGCAAGATATTTAATCTTGCTCTTGAAAGTGAAACTTACCCTACCTTGTGGAAGGAATCACACATTTTGCCCATTCCTAAGCACGGCAAATCTACATCATTTGATGACTTTCGGCCAATAAACACCCTCCCCGCAGTTGCGAAGATCTTAGAGACATTGATCAAGGATAAGATAATGCGTCACTTAACAGCGAATAACTTACTGAGTGCTGCTCAGCATGGATTCCTCAAAGCTCGATCTTGTGACATCTGTCAACTCTCTTTCTTTGACTATGTTCTCCAATCTAGGGACCATGGTTTTGCTCTTTACACAGTATATTT